ATGTAATGAAATAAAACTAATTAACTGTAAGCGGGTTTAAATGAGGATTACACGGGTGTGTTTGCCCTCTGTGCGGTCTGACAGGCTGCAGCGGTCAAACACACCTCCTGCTGGGTGAGGAGTCCATTTTTAACTTGGAGCAAGTCACCCCTACCAGAGTATTACTCCGCTCCCCCTTCCTGTTTGAAAAATGCAACAAATGCTGTTGCCTAGCAGACCGAGAGGGCGGAGCCGCTAACAAATACACACACACACACACACACACGCTGTGTCTCAATTCAGGGTCTGCATCCTTCGAAGGACCCAGTCTACTCGGCCGACGTGGGCTGGGTCCTCCGTCGGCCGAGTAGACCGGATGTTAATGGCTGTGAATTTGGACAGGCCTAGCCTTCATGAATTCCCGCCACTCCCTCGGCAAACTTCTGTCACCTAGCAACCGTGGAACCGCTGAGCAGAAGGGAGAAGGAACTTTAAATGATGGAGCTCAAAGTTTTATTTAGCTTTTTAATCATTTCCTTGACTGTTGGAGAGCTAATTCAGAGAAAATACTTTCGACAAGCTGAGCCTGAGCAAAGATGTGATAATAGTTTTTAATACTTTCTAAGGGTCTTAATTTGACCAAAACCGATTTATCACCTTTTAAGACTTTTCAAGACCCAGCGGAGACCCTCTAGTAAACAATTCACATTTGTAAACAAAAATAAAATTCAAGAGTTTAATGCAGAACTGATTTTATTTAGATATTTCTTTTATATGTACATGTTTAATCTTTCTTAACCATTTTTTCTAGCAAAGTAAAAAGCTGTCAAAGTTCTTCCTTCTCTCCTGTCCTCTGCTGCTCTGCCTCCCTCTGCGGCCTCGTGTCCTCCCTGATCAGCTCCAGAAGCTGGTCATCGCTGGCACCTTCCCCTGGATGCCCATTTTCTCCAGAATAGTCTTAACAAACATGTAAGAAAAGAAACAGGAAGAGAAAAGAGGACAACGGGTTTTTCCTTTCATGTTTTTGCATAAGAAACTAAACTCAAACAACAGTTTTTAAAATATGAGATGTTATTGTACCTCCATGCCACAGCCGCCGAATACTTTGCTCCAGTGATCATGTGGTCCATCTCCGCCCTAAGCTTAATAAAGTCCCGTGGTTTTCTCTTTTGTCCCTAAAATACAAACTTCTATCAAAATCAGGGGAAAACGTAGCGGGAGAAGTACGACACCGAGCGGCCGAACATACGAGCCAAGACCGCAATACAAGCACTTTTACTGTAACATTTCTAACTAGAATAACGTTCATGTATCACAAAAAGTCCTTAACCGAACAGTTTTCAAGTTTATACTGACATTTATATGCGCAATCCTCTCCGACAGCTCCCGCTTCACTGTCCGCCATTGTTTTTAAAAGTTCTGCCATCCGGCCCGCAAGGCATCTTGGGAAATGTAAACCACTGAAGGATACACCGGACCCATCCTTCATTCAGGCGAAAAGAAGGCCGGATTCGTCGACCGCATTTGAAAGAGTCTTCGAATTGGGACAGGCCTGGTCGCGGCGCTGTGACGTAACCAGCCGACGAAGGATGCAGACCCTGAATTGAGACACAGCCACAGGCTCACAACGACATTGTGACATCATATGGTACCAGCTAACGTTCTAGGGTACCTCTTAGCCAATAGCGATGGCAGATTTAAATTCAAATGCAGTGCAGAGTTTTTACATGACAACGGCACAACACTGACAGTTTTAGGCAGAAAATTAACATTTTAACTCAAATGCACTAAAGTGTAAAACTATTGACTACACGTGTCTGCAGCACGATTAGACACACATTTATATAGTTTATCAGGGAAAAAAAGTTGTTTGGGGGTGACTTGCTCTTTATCTGGTCTCCTTTCTTTCCTTTCCTTTCCTTTCTACACTGAAAGTGTATTTTTCTGTCAGGTTTCACCGACATGCAAAAGGAAGACGTAAATATGCAGCTGCACCTCACACCTGCACGTTTCATATTTTATCTTTGTCTTTATTTAGTGTGAATAAGAAACAGAGCGTTTACTTTGCATCTGTCATCAAATATGAACTCAGTTCCCAGGAATGTCCATGGATTTTCCCAACATGCAGCAAGAAGAACTTTAACATGATCAGTCGTTTAAATTTGTCATTAAGTAAAATGAATTCATAATGGTGACTGAATGCGATGTAATGAAATGCAAAGCGTTCCCTCCGCTGCTGCCCTTTTGCTTCCTGTTGAACGTTCGGACTCTTTAGACATTAATCGTTGGGTTTTTCAGAGTTTGCATTTGTTGATGTTGGATCTCAGATTTTAGCAGCTCAAAAATCCAACCTTTCTTCATTAATGGTAACTTTGTCTGTACTTGCCCCTGATCTGTGGACATTTGTCCATCTGAGATGAGCTGGTGTCCACAGGACTCAGCCTTCAAGATGTCAGCGTTTATATTTAGAATTTAGTCATGTTTTTGTGTTGATGATGACGGTTTCCTGGGATTCTCCTGAGTCCTGATCGTTCCCCCTGCAGAATTACCTGAGAGGTCAAAGGTCATCTCTGGACTCCTTTACTTAACCACTGACTGAAGGATCTGAATGTTTTAAACATTTCTACTTTTGCATTGGTGAGAATTTTTTTGTTTTGTAAATCCATCCATCCGTTATCTGAACCCGCTTCGTTTTTTTTTTGTAAATATTTTAAGGGTTTAAGAAAGACACTGAACATCCTGACCTTTGACCTTGAGTCTGGTTATTTTATATTTATCAGTGCAGCTGATTTCTGTATTTTTTTATCCATTTATAGAAAAACCAGCCGAAAATGTTAAATTTTAAACACAGCTAATTATTTATGAGTCTTCTCGTCTCCTCGGCTCTTTTTAGTGTGTAGCTAAGATTCGCTGATGGATGCAGCTTCTGCAACGCCGAAGATCATAAATCAATGAAGAATACGAGTTGGCAGAAAAGAACAACTACTTTACTAATCAGCTGCTAAAAGTTTGATTAAAACGCTGTAAAAACATTCATCTTAAGAGGTTTATTACGATGTGATTTGGGTCTTAAAATAAGAGAAGCTGGATGCCCTCAGAAGGCTCTGTGGGGACGACGTCATGACTATGTGCAGATTAAAATAATGCTTCTGGATTATTTAACAGCCAAATAAACCTCACAGGAAGTAGATTTAAAGCACTGATGTCTGACAGATTGATGGGAGAGTTTTAGTCCAACAAGATGAAAAAGAAATCTTTACAGTTAAACGGTTTGAGGGTTTTATTGCCCGGTCGGAGCTTTTAAAACCAGAACCGAGCCAGAATGAAGATGCAAATGTTGTCACAGAACAGGGCGGTTAAAATAAAAACCGTGTCCTAGAGGAAGCCCAGTGGGTCACACCAGATCAGGTGATCAGAACAAGAACCAAAGACTCTTTACAGGCTGCAAAGCAGCCTGGGGACTACGTCCCAGATTACACTTAATCCTCAGGATTTTCTTAGGAAATAAAGCGTCTTTGTGGTTTAACAGACAAACGGATAATAGGCACCAGAGATTTAGCAAAAGCTGAGTTAGCATCCTATTTATTTTGGTGGTTTTTAATCAAACTGCACTGATTATAGTCCTGAGAAAGTTGATAAGGAACTTCTGTAAATGAAAAATATGTTAGATTATTTCAAAAAAGACAAAGAATACATTTATAATTATTAACATAATTTACAATGAGAAAGATAAGTTCTGAGCAGATGACCCGAGGGATCTGCTCGGTTAAACAACCTCTAGTATCTATTGATCACAGTGGGTACATCATATAAATAAAAGCAATGAGTTATGTCTGGCTCAAAAACCACATTAGAGCCAAACACAATAAAAAGAACTGAAACTTCAATAAACAGCCAACAGATATAATAATTCAACAACTTGGCGGCCCATGAGCCCAAATAACACCAGTTTAGTCTGAACATCCCTTTTCTAATTTAATTTAATTTCTGGAGATTATTTTAGGGCCACTCACCTACTCCATGACCCAGAGTGGGGTCCCAACCCCCAACTTGCCCTACTTCAACTTCATGATGCATTCACTGAACCTCGAAGGTAGGAAATGTAACTTTTTTATGTTTTGTTTTTAACAGCAAATTTCCTGTGGTTCTGATCCAGTGGTCAGAGGTCAGTGATGGCAAAACCACTGTCTCTATTTGGTTTCTAACAACCTAAAAGAACATCTGAACATTTTATCACTCTTTCTTGTTGTCTTCTGATCTGGTTTTCACGCCACCTCATGACTGCAAAAACATCAGTTCCCAGCCGAGCTACACCATACGTTCAAGAATGTCCAGAACATAAAGGAGGCCCATGATGCAACTTCTACTGACGGACCAAAGTGATGAAGTTCTGACCAACAATCCTGCAGAAGCAACAAGCATCTCAGGGCAGGCAGCACCTGATCTGCATCTGCAGGTAATGTCCATCAGCTCACGCTGCCCTTCACATCCCTGTCTCTTAGCAACACCACAGGCCACATCAATGAGAGAGGAAAGAGACACAAAAAGGGGAGTGAATGAAAGGATGAGGACAAAAAAGGGCAGGAATGAGTGGAGAGAAGTGGAGGATGAGAAAACGTGGAGAAGTGAGGTGAAGGAGGAGAAAAATGGTGAAACAGAGAGAGGAAGCTTTAAATGTAAAATTGTAAACCAGCAGAATAAAGACATATAAGGGCTGAAGCAGAATCTCTGCAACATTTGATAATTCAGTCAATAAAAATACGGAATTTATTAGAAACGCTGTCAGAAAACTCAATTTAGCATCTTTACTGCAACGTGTGTCCTGATGCAACAAAACCAGATCCCAGAAGCGCTGGGGAGTGAAACAGAGACCGGAGCGCGACGGCCTCCGACATCAGCAGTTGACAGCGGAGGAGGTTCCAGCAACCGCCTCCTCCTCCTCCTCCTCCTCAGCACCAGCTGGGCTCAACAAAACACCAAAACAGACACGATGAGAGTCCAAACGCAGATTTAAGGCTCACCTCGCTGCGCAGGCTGGGGGGAATCTGGCTCGGAGCTGCGGATGATTATTCAGGCTCTCGGCGCGCAGCCACGCTGTCTGAATTTCAATGTGAGCGCGTGATTCGCACGCGCACACGCGCTCTGGGTGCACAAAGGCTGAGATCACAGAGGAGGAGGAGGAGAGGCTGCAGAAAAATGCGCTTAGAGTCGAGCAGCTGCAGGAGGCTGCTGCCTCCCAACGGAACCAGGCACGAGACGTCCAACTCGGGAGGAGGACCACTGAAGTGCTGCTCAGAACCAGCAGGCAGGAGGAGAAGGAGGAGGTATCTTCCCCCCACCCCTGAAGGAATAGTTTCTGCAACTTCCGGTTTTTCCTTTTCACAATTAAACTAATCCCACGTCTTTCACAATAAATACATCTATGACAACCCCCCCCCCCCCCCCCAAAAAAAAATGCAGTAATATTCTAAAATGTCAGGGTGCTTGAATTCCCCTGTCAAAATATATTGAAAAAGATCAGACTAATTATTCTACAAATAATAATGAACTATATACAAAACAAACAGGCCTCCCAGCTAACAGAGCAGTGGTTTCCAGATGTGTCGGTGTGATTCATTGAACAACCAAACCAAACCAAAGTTTTTACCCTCACCAAAACAAAAATAGGTCTACCAGTATGGTTATTCTATTTTGGGTTGACATAGTCAAATACTTTATTAATAATTATTCTTTATTTTTATCTGACTTTTGTAGATTATCTCAAGTCCCTAACTGAGGAGTTTTGTGACCCCCAGTGGGGTCACAACCCCAACTTGTTTTCTAACACAAATAAGTTGCCTCTACGTTTGAACATCTTTTCTCTGGTGACAAATGCATCTTCCCACTGATGGGATGAGAAAATGTTCGCCTGACCTCCATCTTTCCTAATCTGCTATTTAGCAGCATGCAGCTTCTCATAATCCATGCCATGTTTTTAAATGAGAAGTGGTTCTCAGCAGTTCACCTGGATAAATAAATGTAAATAAATAAATACCGGTACATAAAATAATTACTAACGACATGAAATGTGTTTTCTTCATGTTATCTAAATATGATATTATTACTGTAATAACTTGAAGATTAATCAAATGTAGAATTGTGATAAGTATTTATTCATGTGAAAAGAATGACAAAAATATATTGTATTTTTAGATATAAAAATCACGTTATAACTTAAACAGATATTGTTTGAGCCTTTTCCTTCACGGCGTTATGCTATATTTTATTATCGCTTGAGTGTGTAGCAAAACAGTTGATTTATTTTATTGTCTAAACTTATAAAGCGATATCAAGTGTTTTGTTGACATCTGCTGGACAGCATGCGCTACTACACTTTATTTCTATCAGGCATTGCTAAGGTCACCTATGAAACCCGCTTCACGGTTAAAGAAGGACCCACACAAACGGAAGCCCTACGTAGGCTTGCTGTCCTGAAGCAACAGAGAAATATTCGAGCCGATGAGTTTCAATCCACCAGAAATCACAATCATCTAATTAAATAACCCGGTAAATTTTTTATTTTTCAAAATTTAAACAAGTATTAGTCTGAATAGGAACGATATGTTTGTGAACTATGAAAGGCTTTTTAGTAGGATAGCAGGAAAACAAAAGCGGATGCTGCTGGCAAGAAGTGGCGCTTCGTATGAAAACCTTGTGGATTTACCGTGAGCAGGCCGAGTTTATCCGAAAATAACCTATATACAGCTACGGAAACCGTTTATGGGGATAAGTTACATCCTGAGAGGTTTCGGTGAGCCCGGAGGAGTTGCAAACTGGTAAACATTCACGTCGTGCAGTAAATTGCTAAAGTCTGCTCATTCAGCGGCTGGGAGGAAAAGCTAAAGAGCGTCTTGGATGGATTGGGGTCCACAGAAGTCCGGGTACCAGCTCCAGCTGTAATCAGTTTAACTCGTACGGGTCTGATCTGGACTAAAACGCACGTTGGATTGTGAAAATAATTATTGAAATGTCTTCTGTCTGAATAGAAAAGGTCAAACTACATCTGGTAAAGGTGGTGCCAACAGTTATCTGGCCCTTTTATGCGTTCCCTTTAGGAAGGTTTTATAAATAGTTGAAAGAACTAGTTTAAGTTGGTTTGATATACTACATGAGTGGAAATCACTTCAGCTTCTGCATTTAACTAAATTCCCATAGGCAGTTCATTATTTAGAGTGTATTTGTTGAAAAAGAAGCTGTTGGCCTGAGTCATCTAGTATGTGAATCAGTTGACTGTAGAAGTTTGAGCTTTCGCATTTAACCACCTGTTTGCAGTTGTGAGCCGGGCTGAGCTGCTCCGGAACAACCCTGAAAGGGAACCATGTTTCTCTACAACATCACCCTGCAGCGTGCCACTGGCATCACTCACGCCATCCATGGAAACTTCTCAGGTGAGCTTCCTCCGGATTTTTTTTAAACTTTGTATCTTTTGTTTGATTATCCAAGTGCGGGCTTCAATAAAACAGTTATGTTTTATTTCAGTGTAGGACCAACGCTGTGTGACACAGCCTGTGCAGACCAAACGTTTTACTTTTCTATATTCAAACAATTTTAACCCTATAAAGCTCGAATCATGTTAATTAAATGTTTGCGTGTAGGAACCAAGCTGCAGGAGATTGCTGTTTCCAGAGGAAAGATCCTGGAGTTATTGCGGCCGGATGCTAACACGGGAAAGGTGCACACACTCCTCACAATGGAGGTGTTCGGCATCATCAGATCCTTGATGGCGTTCCGACTCACCGGAGGAACTAAAGGTACACATCAGACTGGAAACAATAAAAATGTGTGTCATGTATTTATAAATATTTTACAAACATCAAGACATTATGACTGTATATCATATTTATAACATGAAGTACAGTTTAAAATAACAGTAACTAAAATAATATTACAATTAGGGCTGCAGCTATTGAATATTTTTGTAATCGAGTACTCTATCAAATCTTTTATCGATTAATCGAGTACTCTAATAAATGGCCCTTTTGTGTTTGTAAACCATTATATCAAATAGCATGTTATAAAATATGAAAGACCTTAAAATAAGCAAGCAATTGCCAGTTATTCTTCAAGTTTTATTCAAAATTAGTTTTCAAAACTTCCATCACTTCAGCTTTACTTCACAGTAAACAAATGCCTGTGCAAAAAATAAGTATGCACAGTGTTTCCCCTAGGAATTTTTCCAGGGGGGGGGGGGGGGGGGGGGGGCTTGGCGAGAAATTATGACACGTCTCTAAATAAAGTGAAATTTTCTAGTGCAGAGTGGAGACAACCCATAGAAGCACTAATTTGATCTCATTTCAGAGAAATATAGAACAGGTCAGATGCACCTAATAAATAAAATTACTAACAAACTCAGGAATCTGTTTCTTTGCTTCACTGTTCTGCTGCTGAGAATATCACTAATGCGGATCAAAGGAGATACACAGATGAATGCACCTCTTGTTTATTATTTGGAGACTACATTTACTGCAGCTGGCAGAGGCAGAGATTTTTTCTATTGATACACGGAGTTTACAGAATCATTTTAAATGTTAATAGGGGAAGACTGCAGGAGGGAGCGGTAAAATACAGGGGGTCCCCAGCAAAAACAAGAAACTTTACGAGTCTGATGAAACCCGCTGGTTGTCCATCAGGCAGTCACGGGGCAGCTCCAACGACCCAGTGGCTGTGCTGGGTCAATGTTATCGAGCTCAGTCCGGCTCGGTCGTGAACGAGCCGAGGCGACGTCGTGCTCTGCTTAAGAAGAGGTGTTATTTTCCCGCTTCAGAAGAAGCGTCCAACGTGTTTTTACGCTTTCTCCGAGACATGTCACGTCGCTAAGTTGTTAGCGCCGCACGCTAACACGTCAATAGTGCAGCGTAGCCTGCTGGAGGTTTTAAGGGTTCAGATGAAAACACCCGACCTCTCAGGCTGCTCACACATCGATCTTAAGTTGTCGCTGTTGCGCTCACACCGTAATATTAGATGCGGTTAAAGTCAGACATGAAAAAATACATGAATAAGTGATGCTTAGCCTGGTGGGGGGAGGAAAATCTGGCCTAGTAAGCACTGGAGGAAACCCTGTCAAGATCGTCAACACTCATTTATCTTAATGCTATTGAAACATGTAAACCAAAAAGCATTACATCCACTGCTACCTTTCTAATTTTAAACTCAGTAACTTATGCTGTAACTTCACCTTGCCCTGCCTGCTCCTCCTTGCTGCCGGCGGCTGTGATCACAAGCCACAACATAGTAGTTCCCGCTGCTTCTTCGTGAAACAGCGCCAAAAAAAAAAAAACTTGGGATCTTGTAGGCGTGGCGGTGGGATTTCAGCCGTGGCGGGCCGCCACGGCTACGCCTATGTAAGGGAAACCTTGATACAACCTGAGCCGATTTTCCTCTCGTGCAAGAATCAACTAGCCTGCAAGCCAGACAAAAACTAGGAGGATAACTGTTGAAGTAGCGCTGCGAGCAGCTGCGGCCCAAACAGCACCAGAACCGCTCACGGCGCATGCGCAAACATGCGTCAACATGGCTCGCCAGCTATTTCCCTATAAACACACGTCCGTTTTAATTTCTAAACTTTATTTTCTCTGAGAAAGCATGTTTGTCGTGGTTATGTCAAATTATACTGATCACAAAACATTTATTTACTTTCTTTTATTTTCCTCATACATACCTGTCCTCCTGCAGCAACCCCGAGGGACAACAGACATCAATAACAACACAATAAAAAGTCAGACGTGTTGTGTAAAAACTGCTATTTTTAGCACATTTTTAGGTCCCACGTGTTGCTACCAGACGACAGTGTGAGCTGAAACTGAGTGCTACAAACGAAAGTCGCACAGTGTCCGCAGAATATATAGCGGGCCTCCTTTGTTGCTAGGTGCTTTTTTGAAAAAAGTTGTTAAGGGGCTCTGAAAAGTCATTAGAAATGGCGACAAAGTCGCTAAGTTGGCAGCACTTAGTTGACTGGTTTTGTTGCTTCAGCCAGCTGCAAAATCGTTCATAAACTGATGTTTTTACAAGTTGAAGCTGGCATTAGCCAGCCTCCTGTTTCTGATTCAGTGTGTAACAAATCAGTAAAATGATGAAATTCCCCCACATTTTATTTATGAAGTTAATCATTTGTGTTTTTACGTGTTTGTGTTTTGCAGATTACATCGTTGTGGGGAGCGACAGCGGTCGCATCGTCATCCTGGAATATCATCCGTCTAAAAACCAGTTTGAGAAGATCCACCAGGAAACATTTGGCAAGAGTGGCTGCCGACGCATCGTCCCCGGACAGTTTCTGGCTGTTGACCCCAAAGGTCGAGCTGTTATGATCGGTAAGAGTCGTTTTCAAGGGTTTGTGAAACATACTTTTGGTAAAGATTAGCTTAGCTTTACTCAGGAAAACGACTCATCCAGGATATCGTTTCATCAGCTGCTTCCACTGATTGAAGGAATGTTTGACATGTTTAATGTACGAAATGGTGCCATTTAATGGATTGAAAGCATTCTGGATTTTTCTTTTCTGTTCTATACATTTCAGGAGCGATAGAGAAACAGAAGCTGGTTTATATCCTGAACAGAGATGCTGCAGCCAGACTCACCATCTCCTCCCCACTGGAGGCTCATAAGGCTAACACACTCGTTTATCACGTGGTTGGAGTTGATGTCGGCTTTGAGAATCCGATGTTTGCCTGCTTAGAGATGGACTACGAGGTAGGAGTTTAAAAAGACTGAAACATTTAGATGTTACGAGACTCTGCATGATGAGTTGTTCATGTCTCTTCTCTGACTGTTGCTGGAGAAAAAGTTACACCTCTGACCTCGGCTACGTTCTCGCTTAGGAACCCTTTTTCTTTTCAGATTTAACGACCTCTGATGCTCTGATGTTTTTGTTATTTCCAGGAAGCTGATAACGATCCAACAGGAGAGGCTGCTGCCAACACACAGCAAACGCTTACATTTTATGAGCTGGATCTCGGGTTGAATCACGTCGTCCGAAAGTACAGCGAAGCTTTGGAGGAACACGGGAATTTCCTCATCACTGGTATGTTTTCAGTTGGGCAGAAACACAACTTTCTCCTCTCAGATGTTATGCCTTAAAATAGGGCTGCACGATATTAGGAAAACCTACGATATTCGATAACAGTGTTTAATATTGCGATATCGATATTACGATAAATGAACAATTACTAAAGTATGCAGTGTTGATGTCGTCTGGCGTGTGACGTCTGCTCTGGGTTCAAAGCAAACAAAAACGAATGCATGAATTCCATTACAACATAACATTTTTGTTGCAAAAATATGCAGCTGCACCTGCTACTGTATTAGCAGCTGCACCTGCTACTGTATTAGCAGCTGCACCTGCTACTGTATTAGCAGCAAAACAACAAACTGCATGCATGCAGTTTCTCAGTGACTTTAAAACATCACCTCCACCATAAAACTTTTTCTGACGCTCCAAACACAGAATAACATCCCTTACCAGGGTTTTTGAATAAATAAAAAAATCAGAAAATAAGTTTAAATGTTAAATAATAGTTAACATCACTTAAATGCAACAGCAAATTCTCTCATTGCTTCTGAGCATTTTCTCCACTTGTGTGGTTATGATATAAGGCTGTTGCTGCAATTGGGAAGTGAACTGTGCTGGGCCAAACTAGGAGAATATTAAGATTTTCTGAGGGAAAGAGAAAAACAATTGTCTACCTTTCAGAAGAGGAACTGGCAAAAAAAACTACTTGGAAAATATGTGAAAACGTTTGTTTTTAACCCCAAATTGAACAAGTTTACCTAGATCTTAAAAAGCAGCTCAGATGATGAAACTGATTCTGATAACAAGCTAACAAATTGAACTAGCTCCTCTAAGATAACCGGCTAGCAGAGCTTCTGACTGACAGTTTATGTGCAGCAGCAAATCAACTATCCTGATTAACAAGGTTATAAAAGCTCATAAATGAAAAATCACTTTGATGTGTGGGGGAACTTTTCCAGGCCCTCTTTAGCAGGGTGGGACTGGGAGGAGAGTGCTGTAGCCACTCCGGTTAGCTGGAAGCTAACCGGAGCCTGGGGCTAACATCACCACCCGGTGGAACACTAGCGACATGAAGGTGGGTTGGTTCACGGGCACGTGTCGGGAGTCAGCCCGGTTATTATCAGCTGCTGAACGACACCGAGCGGACTCACGTTCACGTTTGAAAGCAGCGCTGATTCCAGAAACCTCAGCACAAAGTGCGTTCGTTAATCTGAGCCAGCATGACGAACAAGGGAACGGCGCCGCTAACTCAGTTCGGTTGTTGTGTTCCACCCATCCTAAGGGTCTACGTAGGGGGCGGGCGTATTACGTGAACGGACCCATCTGATTGGCCGCATATCAGAAGGGCTACATTTGATTGGTCAAATAATACTTCCGCGTAAAAAACAGAGCTGGTTTACAAAAAGTTGATGTATGACACGGATGGAAATGTTTCAACCAAACATTTATCGCCGTTTTTGACGTGCTTTGCGATGAGCCTATCGCACGTCCTGTTATCCCGATGACGATAATTTTTCTATATATTGTGCAGCCCTAATTTGGTAGCAGCAATCATCTTGATCCAAGCTAAGCTGGTCCCAACACGACTGACACCATGAGACCAGCAGGGTGGAGGTGAAGTTGAAACAGATTCTGGAAACTAAAGACGAGCAGAGACAATAAGTTCTCTCTGTGGGAACAATGGCAGCTCTGTGCCAGTCCTCCCGTGATCCTTCAGAAATCCCCGAAGAAGAGTGGAAAACATTGATTGTTTTTGATGGCTGGAATAGTTCAGAGAGACCTCACAGAAAACCTAATATTCTGTCAAAAAATGAAACAATCTGGTTTTCCAGAGTCCTACATTTATTTCAATACAACCTTGTGTGACATTTCACCGAGTCGGTCGTTAAGCAAAAATCAACCTAGAAGGCAGAACTGTGTGTTTTATGATTTTATAGAAATGTGGTCCTCTCATTGTATACTACTGTTTTGGTGGTTTTCTGCTCAGACGGTTAGTGTTTTGTCTGACGTCTGATTTCCTACACAGATGCTAATTAAAGCCTTCATGGTTTGGTTATTTGTCGGAATAATAAAACGACGGCTCCATTAGCCCAGCTTCTCATTAAGTAACTGTGTTGTAGAAGTGATGAGTTTCATGTCTCTTCTCTGATTTAAAACGGTGAAGAAACGTTAAAATCTCTGATCACGAGCACACCTCTGATAGCGTAGCGTCCCTTCACCAGGTAAACGCTCACAGGTAAAGCCGTGTTTTCCTTCCTTCTAGTCCCCGGTGGTTCCGACGGGCCCAGCGGAGTTCTGATCTGCTCTGAGAACTACATCACCTACAAGAACTTTGGAGACCAGCCCGACATTCGCTGTCCCATTCCTCGCCGCAGGGTGAGTCCTTCATGCAGCAGCATCCATAAAGTTCCTGTTCTGGTTGTATTTGTGCTGTCGGTCGCACCGGCCTGTAACCATTCCTGTTAGGATCTAAAAACACAAGCTTGTAATTTACTCACAACTTTTTTTTAGCTGTGGTTTAATTTTATTCTCTCTGTTGTTTCCTGTTGTTGTCGGCGGTCTGTCCCACAGAACGACCTGGATGACCCAGAGCGTGGCATGATATTTGTCTGCTCAGCCACCCACAAGACCAAGTCCATGTTCTTTTTTCTGGCTCAGACGGAGCAGGGAGACATCTTTAAGGTCACTCTGGAGACGGACGAAGAAATGGTGCATGAATGAAAAGATTCTCCGCTTATTTAACCATAAATCCTTAATTTCCCTGCTCATTTAATTATTTTTTCTTCCAGGTGACAGAAATCAGGTTGAAGTACTTTGACACGATCCCCGTGGCAACAGCCATGTGTGTCCTGAAGACCGGCTTCCTGTTTGTCTCCTCTGAGTTTGGGAATCAGTGAGTTGGAACCATCAACATATATACTGGACAGTTCATTTCCATAGGCTCCAATAAAACATTTTTGAGGTTAAATGGGAGGTGGCCACCACCGCCATTTTGACCGTGTCACAGGTTCCGTCAAGCCCAGACAATTCTGGGACTGGGATCAACTGACGACACCCGGTCGAACTAGCTACAAGCTAACCTGAAGCTAACCCAAAGCTAACGCGGAGGTGGGAGCTAAGCTAACGGAGGTAGCAACCTAGCTACAACCAGAGTTAACTGCACAACATCAGAGCTTCTGAGTCAGAGATACGCCGGGCTGACCGCTGGGTAGAACCGGGTGGAACACAGAGGTCTCCATCAGCCGGCATCCGCGCAGCAGACAGAAGCCGCGATCAGACAGAGATGCGCCGAGCTGCAGGGAGGGGAGAAACGGGTGGAAAACATCGGTCTCCCGAGAGCTCCACAAGCCGATAGTAGGAACCCAGCTCCACCAACATGTTATATTTCAACCCATTTTCTAAAGTGCAGCATAATGTTAAATGCACTGGGTTTACCCTATTACATTTAAATTTCATGGTTAAACAGTACATGTTCAAATCTAAGCTCAGCTCGGCAGTGACCTAAAATACATAAATATAATTTTACTTACAGAAAAAAATGAAGTGGAGACTCCTTGGACGCTCTATTAGTGCAATTAATGCCACAGCAAGTCATTTTGTCCAACAATTGCACAAAAAAATATCCAAAAAAGAACGCACAAACACAGAGACTCTAAATCCCGGAACAGTTTCCAGGCCAGACCGAGGCTCTACTGAGGCCTTTCCCCGGAGCTAGCTCTGTGTTCACATGGGTCTGATGCTCATTAATTATACAGAATTTTAAGCTTTTAATACACTTAACAGAAGAGTGAGAAAAAAATTCATCCCCCTTATGGGCTCGACACACGGGAGGCGACAAACGACCGCGATCAGCGAAATTTGTCGCTGTCGCTTTTATTACCTGTCACACGGGAGGCGATCCGCGGCAGCGGCCAGCGGCAAAGCCATCTACGCGTTCTGTTCCATTGCGAAATGGAAACTTCCGTTGTTTTGTTTGGCTGTGTCAGGTTGGAGGGAATTAAGGTTATTTAAGCGGTTCAGAGTTTTTAAAAAAGTGGTAGATATGATGTTTCACAAGGTGCTGCTAGAGTTATGTGAAATCTTACTTGTGATTTTACTATATAAAACATAATAATAATCAACTTCTCCATGTTTGCTCGGAGATGTGCGGAGCATCCTGTCCTCTCATTGGTCAGTGAATGAAACCTCCGTTGATTGGTCCTCGTCCGAGCGACAGCGATGAAAAGTTGAAAATGTTTCAACTTTCTGGGATCGCGTCGCTGGGTCGTATGTGCACGACACGTGCACGAGTGCAAACTTTCACACGCACGATTTTCGCGTTTCGCTTAGTTGGAGGGAGACCCGCGATTATCGCTTTCTCGCGCATGTCTCATTGAAAATGAATGGAGGAGAGGCGATGCCGCCTCCCGTGTGTCGAGCCCATAAGAGTTGTCATGAGTGTAAACTAGATCATTTAAACCAAACACATGTTTTGGTACCAGGCTGTAAACATGTTTATTTCTGCTATGAAATTGGTATTTTTAACATGGGAGTCGATGAGGATTTGCTCGCTTCTGACACCAGCCCCTAGTGGATGAGGGTGGAACTGCAATTTTTGGTACTTCTGGGTTGGCCTCAATTTTTGAGCCGCATTGTGGGGGCTTGGTTGGAACGGATGTTTTTCCCACCATTATCCAGCTTTAGGCTTATCGCTCCATCCTCTGCCACAGCTACCTTTACCAAATCGCTCACCTGGGCGACGACGACGAAGAGCCCGAGTTCTCCTCAGCCATGCCATTAGAAGAGGGCGACACCTTCTTCTTCCAGCCCCGCCCCCTGAAAAACCTGGTGCTGGTGGACGAACAAGAGAACCTGTCTCCCATCATGGCGTGTCAGGTGAGCGGGTCTCCTCTGGGTTAGAAGGTGAGAAGAAGTGATTGGATTCTTAATGAGCTGGTTTCCTGCTGATTAGATCGCTGATTTGGCCAACGAAGACACGCCTCAGCTGTACGTCGCCTGTGGACGAGGACCGAGGTCCACTCTGAGGGTCCTCCGACACGGACTGGAGGTACACACACCCTTCAGCCCTCACACACTCTGCTGGCTGGCTAAGTGATGAAGTTTTCATGTCTCTTCTCTGACTAAAAGCTGAAGAGTCTGTTAAAAGTTCTGATTTCAGCCTCAAGGCAAAGTGTTTCTGATGATACTCCCTCACTAGATGATTTATTTATGCAAACTCTTTCCTGGTTGTACATCACAGAGATCCTGTTTGTTTTCATTTTTACTCGCACATAAAATGAGCGGCGGCCAGGGCCGTGCACATTTTAAATCAATCATGAGACCCTTTCATTAATTCTGCTCCGTCCAAATTTAAAACTGATTAAAACCAAATAAAATCACTTAGTTTATCGGTTTCTGGTCGTAAAGGTTCAGCGTCATTTAATCGGCTTGTCACATGTAAATGTTACAGCGTTTATTGCTCCTGGAAACCTGCAACTGAAGCTTAAGAAAACCTGGAGAGTTTGTGGATAAATCCAAAAGGGTTCAGATGAAGGCGACTGGACTTGTTTGGTTTCCTGAAGACGTTGTCATCCTAGGAGTGTTGTCAGATGAGAAGCGAAACGTTTTTGTTAAATCAAACAAGTCCTGTTGTCTTTATCTGAACACTTTTGGATCATCAGGACCTGGATGACTGAGAACCTTCACCAGCATTTTGTGAATAAATAAGATACATTTCAGAGATTTTTTGGCAAATTGGTCAAAATTAAGTTACACGGTTACCGTAAATCCTCTAATACAGGACCGGGCCTGTATTTGACTCAGGCTCATCAAGCTCCAGAAGGAGGACCAGAATTAGAGGCAGGCCTCAATTTCTATTTGAGCAAAATGAACTAGTGGTTCGCTGGAGTTTTTGACAATTAAAATTGCGCCCACATTTTCAAAGTTAAACATTTCTTTTAACAACGGTAGTTTCTGCTTCAGCCCTCTCCCCCCTCCCCCTGTGCAGCGGCCGCAAACTCACTGATGCGCCTGCAGCCTCTCGGAGTTCCTGCTGCTCTAAACATTAAAATAATTATTTCATTTCTGTTCCTCACTTCTGATTACCTTCAATGGTGTCTGTTTGTTGCAACCACCAGGTACAAAAACTAACTTGTTTTTATTTGACTATTTTTCTGTCCTGCCTGTTTATTATCTTCCTGCATCTCCTCTCAATCCTAAAGAAAAACTGCTACCTGGGTTCATATATATTCACCTTATGAGTTACCTTTGAACTGCAGTTCTAAAATATCTACCGACCGCAAAGACAGCGGAGTGCTCGCTGCTTGCCGCCACATCAGTTAGGTGCGTCACTGAGGACAAAACAGGTGATGCGCCCCGATCCACAGCAGCGAAACGCATCAGGCACAAATAAAAGAATAAAAGACAGAAAACATAAAAGGAAATGAGCCGACATGAACGATCGCGTGTTAAATTAGTTTTTGAGGTGGCGACACCTGATTTGATAATGTTACTGTGGCCGTGCTCAGGATGCAGATATCTGGAGCGCGTCAACAATCAAGAGCTTTGCATGTGCAAGCTGGTTAAGGTTAGGATGGGGGTGAGGGGGAGGTTAAATTGCAAGAGGGTAAAGGTCACAATTTGGTTAAATGTCAGTTTTACGGCGGGTGTCAGTACCGACGCTCTGGAGCTTGTCACCTGCTGACAGCAGGCTGCTGTCTTTTCCATGGACTGCATCTTGCCGGTCATTATCACGTGACAGCGACTAGTCGATGACGGGCATAACAAGTCACTGTAGAGCGGTGAAGTTGACTAGTGACTAGTTCATACAACCCCTGCTACTGCTCCCCAGAGTGTTTTGCAGCATAATCAGCACGTTCTCTTTGAACTTGATATCAAATTTTCGCGTCCTCTTCATCTCCGCACGGTTAAAGTTACCCTCGTGGTCTATCACTGGCAAATCAAAAGTGAGACGGATGACACAACCGCCCCCCGTACTTGCTTGTTACCACATTCCACCCGGCCACAATAAAATACCGGCCATTATTCACCTCCGCCGACTCCGACACCGGCCAGAATATGATACCCGGCAGTTAATTAAATACAGGCTAATATTAGAGGATTTACGGTAGATCCAGAATTAGAAAATTTAATTATAGAAAAATACTTAAAGCATTAAAGAGAGTAGAATAATACTTTGTTCAAACTCTGAGGAAAGGTTAATGCATTTCTAGTTAAATCTTATTCAAGTAACAGAATCTAAATCATTGATCTTTTACTCTATAAGATGTTTTTATTTTTTCATAAGTGAGTCTAACCTGCGGCTGTGATGCTTTAAATAATCAAACCAGCAGGTGGTGCTGTTGTATAAAAACCTTTACAACTCACATCAGTGACACTATTTGGTCACTTTGATCACAGATGTCAATCTAAATACTTCTTGAATTACAAAGTGTCCCCAAATCCTGGAATAATAATCAGTAATGAAACTAGAAGGTAAATGATTCTATTAGTGGCATATTAGCCTGAAAAAAGGTGGAAAACATCTCTATCATTCATAAAAATCGACAGTATATCAGCCATCGACTGAACATGTGTCCTACATGTCGGCATCGGTGTTGGCCAATAATGGTCAACCTCTAGATAAGGGTAAGGTGTTCATCAGTAACAGCTCAGTGTGGATCACCATAAATGATGGGCTGTATGGTGGGGCAGTGGTTAGCGCTGTTGCCTCGCAGCACTAAGGTTGCAGGTTCGAAACTCTGCTCGGCTGCAGCCTTTCTGCGTGGAGTTGCGTGTTCTCCCCATGCATGCGTGGGTTTCCTCCGGGTACTCCGGTTTCCCCCACAGATCACAACATGCCCTATAGGTTACAAATTGTAAGTCACTTTGGATAAAAGTGTCTCCTAAATGAATAAACATATTAAACATAAATACTTTTTAAAACATTTGTTATAAAATGTTTATTAAATCATTTAATAGTCTGAAAACTGGGGATGTTCCGATCACTTTTTTTGCTCCCCATCCGATTCCGAGTCATTTGATTTTAAGAATCTGCCTATACCGAGTCCTGATCCGATACTTTTGAAATGCATTAAGAAAAAATAAGAAGTTTTTTTTAATCTATGTGTTTTTTCTTTCTGTATTTGTCATTTCTTTAGTTTATCTGCTATAAAACATCACTTGTTCAGGAAGTACATAAATAGGAAACATGTAAAATCAATATCACGATATACTGAGAATTTCACCATGATGATAACTACAGGTATGCGCCGAAACAAAAGTTGTCCACTAGAGGGGGCTGTAACATATATTATGTTGGGTCACATTTTTACATGACTCAGGGTGGTGCAGCTTCTTAAAGGGACATGAACGTTTAAAATAAATTGCTTGTAACGTCTGACTGAATGTATCGCAATATATTGCGATATATCGTATCGTCTCCCCTGTATCGTGATGTGTATCGTATCGCCAGAATTTCAAAAATACACATCCCTGGTTAAATGTGGCTTTTCTCACCGATTACGATTTCCTGAAAATCAGGTGGTCGGATCGGAGCATCCCTACTGAAAACAGATTAAAACATCCAGCCTTTTTTTTATTTATTTGTTCTGATCAGGTGTCGGAGATGGCCGTGTCTGAACTGCCTGGTAACCCCAACGCCGTGTGGACGGTACGACGGCACGTGGAAGGTTAGTCGTCTTCTAAACCTGTGATTATTATCATTATTGGTGTTGTATGTGTTGCTGTGATGTTTGGCACCAGAACCAGAAAGTCAACGTGTTTCTATTAAGCTTCGCTAATGCTAGGTCTGCTCAATAATCACATTTTAATCACAAATACAATCTTGAGTTTTGAATAATTATATAAACAAAACAAGATAATTATTTGCTCCTCCCTCGTTTACTCCGAGTTGGAAATTGAGCGCTCCTCCCAACAGCATTGTTAACTTTTAGCACCTTTGTTGCGATTTCTAGCAACTTTTCAGATCCCCTTCTTTGATTTTTATTTTTTATTTATTTTATTTTATTTTTTTCAAAAGTACGTAGCGAAGAACCTAGACACTCTCTGGTAACCCTTAGCTACTTCCTGGAATGCTTGTCGATATTTCCTGCAGGTTAGCAAAACAATCAGATAAAATAATAAGATACTAGAACTAAATGCTGCAAGAATACACTAACAGATGACTAATTAAATCATAGGACTGGACTAAGGGAACAGAACATAAATAAAATAGAAAACATAGCTAAACTAAACTAGAAAGCTGGGAGAATAACCTAAACCGTTAACAGGAAATGACTGAAGAAAATACACAAACCAAATAAGACCTATATGAAAAGGGGACCATGATGAAGGACTGCGACGGAGGAGTGGTTAGAAGTGACTGCAGCTGGGGATGAATAGGAAGGCTGAATAAACGAATGTATGGGGATAGGAACACATCTAAGAACACACGTCAAGGGTGAAGGACACACAAGGAGCGGAGACGGGGTTAGGGACATGGACAGAAGACGGTGTATTGGCGGTTTATACTAGGGATCAGAAGCTGTTTTGTGGCTATCTTGTTTCTTTTTATTATGTATTTCCTCTGATTGTGCCCTGTGCCGTTTTACGACCAAATAAATAAATAAAATCAACACTAATTAAAAATTGTCTTTAATAATCAAGATCTCAATTCTAGTCAAAATTATTGTGATTAGCGTTTTTACCATAATAGAGCAGCTCTAACTAACGCTGACCTCATGACCTTGTTTTATTCGGTTTAAAGTTTCTGCTCTCATCAGCTGATTGACTCTGTTGGTTTTCTTCATCCATCAGATGAGTTTGATGCTTACATCATTGTGTCTTTCGTCAACGCCACTCTGGTTCTGTCCATCGGAGAGACTGTAGAGGAAGTGACAGACTCTGGATTTCTGGGAACAACGCCCACGCTTTCCTGCTCTCTGCTGGGGGAAGATGCCCTCGTTCAGGTTCGTGAAAGCAACTTTCACCTGTGAGTGGTTGTTCTACTGCTCTGGAAACTGGGGTCATTGGTCTTACCAATCTTTCCTGGTTTTTCCTTCTGTTCCTTGTCCAGGTTTACCCAGATGGGATTCGCCACATTCGAGCAGACAAGCGTGTGAACGAGTGGAAAACTCCGGGTAAGAAAACCATCGTCCGCTGTGCTGTGAACCAGCGGCAGGTGGTCATCGCCCTGACGGGAGGAGAGCTGGTCTACTTTGAGATGGACCCGGTGAGAAGATGAAACATCCATAACTGGATTTTGGATCCATAATCGATTTTCTGTCGTACAAACATGTTTTCATAGTTGAACGGGCTTTTATTTTGAGCGGCTTTATGCTAGACTTAGAGACTGTTTAACTCCATGTCCTGGAGCGTCTCATCGCTGGTCCACAACTTCCAGTTTGTGTTTTTAAATATGTTATCAGAACACGTCCTCACGTCCCCCGTCTTATCTGGGAGTAAACTTGGATCATACGCTCAGCTCAAATCAAATCAAAGCTTTATTTATAAAGCGCCTTCCGCAACCCTGTCAGGAAGCCCAAGGCGCTGAATATGGTACAGTACAAAGTTAAAGAAAGTGAATAAATCAGAAAATAAAAGCAATTCAAATTACAGATTACAAATTACAAAAAAGGTGAAACATTCTAGTAGAAGACAAATGTGTAAAACAAGGGAAAAAGTGAACCAATGAAAACTGAGATAAAATCAACATAAAATCAACATAAAAGAGGGCCAAATTCAAACATGTTCAGGAAACGCCAAGCGGAGGAGGTGGGTTTTCAGCTGACCCACAAACAGCAGCTCTACTCATGTCTCTGGAAAAATCACAAAAACATTTGGTGACCTGAGATCAGCACGAGATATAATTAGTTTAGCTTTAAAAATAAACGTTTCAGCGGTCGGACAAATGAGATAAACTAAGGACTGGTTAGAGATGCTGACAGGAGACGTGACCTGAAGGGTGTTTTGCTGCAGCAGAGGTGAGACTCTAGTCCTCTTCACGAGTTCCAGACACGTTCTGTTTTAAGTTGTTACCAACAGTTGCAGCCCAGCGAGGGTCTGGATTTTTACCGTAACTCGGGACAATGAACTCAGTTTTAATTCTTTTCCTGCTGCAGCCTTCCTGATTTAAACAGATGGCTGATTAACAGCGACCATTTGATCACGCAGCTCCATATTCAGGCAGGAAAAGCTGTAAAACCTGTAGGACCCGGACTGGGAAATGCTGGATTATTGATCACCTCTAGGTCTTGATGTAGACCAGGTGATCTCGCCCCTATGTCTACAGCTGGTGATGCTGTTGGTAAACAACCTCCTAAAATCTAACAAATGTGAAATGAAGTCGGTTTGAAAAACAACAAACAGAAAATGTTTGTGATAACTCTTGTTTATTTGTTTGTGTCCTTTCCAGTCTGGCCAGTTAAATGAATACACGGAGCGAAAGGAGATGTCAGCAGACGTGGTCTGTATGAGTCTAGCCAACGTTCCGCCTGGTGAGCAGCGTTCCCGCTTCCTGGCCGTCGGATTGGTCGACAACACGGTCCGCATCATCTCCCTGGATCCTTCGGTAAGAACAGAACCTCACATTTGTCCTGGGATGAATCCTTAACCAGCGAACACTTTGGGTTGGATGTGTTTGTCCTTCAGAGGGTGGAGAGTTAAATAAATGTTGTATTCTGGGTTTGCTGGTCAGTCCGGGCAAATCCATGACAGGGATTGGTGAAGGCCGGAGATAAATCATCCCATCATTCAGCCGTGTCATTTAAATGTTAACGTTCTCCAAACATCAGGATAACATCAGGTGCTGTTTGGAACTATTTGCTTTGAGTTCCTCTCAGGCAAAAAGCAGTTTTCCTGTCTCCTCGGGCCAGTAGTGAATATTGTGTATTTGTGTTCCTGTAGCGTTCCGCCCTCTCCCAAAGAAAAGGCGTGGAACGCCGCTGATCAGAAACTGGCCTTTGAGCAGATGAAAAAACTTTGTGGAAAGTGAATTTCACTCCAACGGGAGTTCACATGGATGCTTTATGATCCGTATGTTTCTGGTTCTGGGGCTGATTCATCCTGTCATTTCTGACTGAAACACGATTGTGAAAGTTTGTCAGCTTTTACAAAAATGCTGTTTTACATTTAATCTGAAGATATTTGATTTCTTCATGTTCTTGGCGGCTGTGAGAGGTTAAAACTGCTTAATTGGTGGATTAAATGTTCAGATTTGGTCAATAATCGTCATTTTAGTTTATTTAGGAAAGCCGATGCTTCCTCCTGCAGTAAAGACAACGTCTTGCAGATTTAGTGAAAATATCTTCATTAGTTTCTTCTAACCCTCTGAACCTTCACACTCTCAGGACTGCCTGCAGCCGCTGAGCATGCAGGCTCTTCCCGCTCAGCCAGAAAGTCTGTGCATCGTAGAGATGGGAGGTGTCGAGAAGCAAGACGAGCTCGGCGACAAGGGAACCATCGGCTTCCTCTACCTCAACATAGGCCTGCAGGTCCGAGTCGTTTCACATCGTATTACAGAACTGCTGCTTTTTTTATATTTTAGCGCTGATGGTGATTTAATTTTTTTAGAACGGTGTCCTGCTCAGGACCGTCCTGGACCCCGTGACCGGAGACCTGTCCGACACCAGAACACGCTACCTGGGGTCTCGACCTGTCAAGCTGTTCAGAGTCCGAATGCAGGGGCAGGAGGCCGTATGTGACATTCAATGAGTTTTTCAACACAAATGTGATTCAACCACAAGATTTTGTGAAAACTTCCTGTTCATCAGAGTAAAATAGTTCCTCTGTGATAGCAGCATGACTATGTTTGAGTCACATGTCTGATTGGCTCATTTTGCTAGTATCTGGCCTGATTAACGAATCAGTAGTGTTTTGTTTAAGCGTGTGTGACTTAGGTCCTCTGGGGTTGTGACACAACCGCCGTTTATTAGAGCCCAGATCACGAGAACAGATTTGATTTCCTGCCCCGCTGTGGAGGGTCTTCGGATGTGGCGCTATGAGGTCACCTGTAAAGCTCGTCTCTTCCTGACAGGTGTTGGCGATGTCCAGCCGTTCGTGGCTCAGCTACTCGTATCAGTCTCGCTTCCATCTGACTCCCCTCTCGTATGAAACGCTGGAGTACGCCTCTGGGTTTGCCTCTGAGCAGTGTCCAGAGGGCATCGTGGCCATCTCCACCAACACGCTGAGGTTTAGTAACACAAACACACTTCTTTTTTCTGTTTAAATGCAAAGTGAAGGAGTTTGCTGTAACCTAATGGAGGGATAATGTCTAAAGAGATCACGTTATGCCTTTATAGAGCAGCAGGTATATTTTAGTAGAAGTAAAATTTAACTGTAATTACTCGTTAACATTTTTTTGTTTCTCATCCTTTTTGTCCGTCAGGATTTTAGCTCTGGAGAAACTAGGAGCCGTCTTCAACCAGGTGGCGTTTCCTCTGCAGTACACGCCCCGAAAGTTTGTTATCCACCCAGAAACCAGCAACCTCATCTTGATCGAGACCGACCACAACGCCTACACTGAGACGACCAAAGCTCAGAGGAAGCAGCAGATGGCCGAGGTTAGGAGACGCTGCGTTAAAGCTGTGATGGATCTAACTCGCCTTTATAAATTTAACTAAACCACCTAATTTAGCTTGATGGTTGAGAAGAACCAATTAGGGAAGGTGGGCTTGAATTTTGGAAACACTACAAATTTTCACTGAGCTGTTTTAACTATCACCACACCACTGTCTGCTGGAAAAACTTTCTCTTAATGCTCCGATCAGCTGGCTCTCCCACCCTCCTCAACACTTTTGCAGGCGGGAGCGCAATTATAGTTTAATTTTGGAAAGATTGCACAATCAGTAAGATCGTTTTTACCAGAACACGTTTGGATTCTTTATTTTCTGGAGAGTAAAGGAAACGAACAGTAAACTCACATAAAAATGTTTTTGTTTTCAGTTAATTAAGTTGAGGTTTGCTACCTGAGTTTGTGGTTCATTAGTCATGAACTGGAAAACCCTGGTCTGACTCGGGTTCTGACGGTTTACTCCACTTGCTTCAGTGGTTTTGGCTACATCGCTGTTCCCAGACCAGCCACCATGTCCAAACCACAAAACTCAAAAGATGTGGGCCTATAAAGGGGATTGCTGCTTCTCTTGTGTAACAATTGTGTTTTAAAAGTGTGGTTCAAAGAGAACTCATTTTCTAACGATTAATTCTGATTCTAACGGGTCACTCTGAGTGTCTCATGTAGGCTGAACATGAAAATAGTCTCCTAAACCTATCTCCTGCTTTAGCTTCTGATAGAAAACAGACGGTGAATCTCTAGGATTAGAAAAGCCTGACAGATGTACGTCACCCATCTCACGAGGAAGGCCGTTGGTTTAGCATCCAGGAAACAGCAGAGAACGTCTCAGCTAGTAGAAGCTAACTGTTAGCATTAGCAACTCCACCACACAGCAGAACTCCTCCAGGCTTGTGTTATTGGTGGAGATAAAACATCAGTGTTGCAGAGCAAACCAAGTCCATGGTAGAGTGAGGTTGCTGCTAGCCAATCAGAGGAGAGATGTCCAGATATCAGGAAGTAAGACTCCAGATCCTGTTGTCTGAAGCTCAGCTGTGAAGTGGTCCGTGTCTAGATCCAGAAACTAGTGCACCAGGGCTTTTTTTTTTTAATACCTGAGTCTACTGCAGATAAGTTGATTAAACGAGGAGTTCACACCCCGAATTTTAGTTCAACCACCTTTCAGCCAGACCTGAACTCATAATATTTGTTTAGAACTCATAAAACGCTGAGTCATGTTTTCTGTTTTAAATGATGTAATTGAGATCCTATTCCTGCTCAGAAGAGACAAGCTGGATCAAACTGCTGAGATGTGAGTTCACAAACGTCAGCCAGGCTCCACGAGATGGGTGGTTTGATCATGGCTACGTGTCTCTGGTTCTGTTGGTTCTGCCCACGGGGACCATACCTTCCTCCAGCTCAAATCAGCATCTTTTCTGCAACACCCTTCCTCGATGCATATTTATACAATACATAGATGTATTATACAATACAGCTGGGATTCTGGGATATTTGCCAGTGAAGGATACAGATGCATCCATGACTGTAAATGATTTTGCCAAAGCACCTGTGGTTTCAGCTTCTGATTGACATCTTACCTGATCCAGCAGGTGAAGGGTCTGATGACCAATCTTCACACAAACCACCTTTCAAAGCGGAATCTGATTCTCCAATTACTTCAGAGATTTTTATTCCAGAAATTATTTTGACACAAATCGATAGACCTGTTTCTAATGTGATTACATGCAACTGTTTCTGTTGTGGAACCGTATTCAGAAGACTTAAATCGTTACTGTTAAGTGTAGGGCTGCAACAACGAATCGATAAATTCGATGAAAATCGATTACTAAAAGCGTTGGCAACGAATTGCGTCATCGATTCGTTGTGTCGCACAACTCTTCCAAAAGCGCCCCCCCCCCCCCTTCCCGCCCGCCGTTGCGCGCAGACCAGAGCAAGTCAGATCAGCGCGAGGGAGAGCCGCAGATCAGCGCGAGGGAGAGCCGCAGATCAGCGCGAGGGAGAGCCGCAGATCAGCGCGAGGGAGAGCCGCAGATCAGCGCGAGGGAGAGCCGCAGATCAGCGCGAGGGAGAGCCGCAGATCAGCGCGAGGGAGAGCCGCAGATCAGCGCGAGGGAGAGCCGCAGATCAGCGGGAGGGAGAGCCGCAGATCAGCGCGAGGGAGAGCCGCAGATCAGCGCGAGGGAGAGCCGCAGACTTGCGCTGCTGCGAACCGGTTCCGCATTGTTGCACAGCGATCCAGGCAGCTGCTTCCAGCGCACGGTCCATTCTCAAAGTGGCGCAACCAAAAAACTATAATTAGCACACGATCGTTCATGTCCGCACATGTTCTCTATTTTCTGTCTTATTTGTGCCTGAAGCGCGCTACTGCGGAGCTCATCACCTGTGCTGCGGTGATTTCACCTCACGCAGCATCGAAAACGCGCTCTCCGCTTTATGGTCAGGAGATCCCTTTGATCTGCTCAAAAGTAACTGATGAGGTGAAAAAGTAAGAATCCAGGCAGCAGTTTTTCTGGAGAATTAAGAGGAGATGCAGGAAGATGAGAGACAGACAGGACAGGAAAATAGTTCAATAAAAACAAGAAAACAAAACAAAGTGTTGAAAAGTAAAATGTAGGTAGATTTATCTCCACTACACGTTTTTACCAGTAAAAAACAATAAGTTATACACATGTCATATTTATACATCTGATACAATTCAGATCACCTTCAAAACTCAGTCACACACCCAGGGCCGTTTCAAGACATTTTGGGGGCCAAGGCAAAATGCCCCCACCCCCCCAATAACTGGGCTCCCCAGAAGCCTCTGTGTAATTCATGCCCTCTCCAGTAGTGTTAGTTATATGGTGTTTATAAAAGCCCCTCAGACATTACTGACATGTTCTAATATTATCAGATGAAAAACTAAATGATCAGACATGCTGTCTCATCTGCTTATTTTATAAACTTGCAAAAAGTAACAAAACCATTTCAAAGCCACTATTTGTGGATTCTCTGAAAGTTTCCATGGAGTGTGTGACAACTTATTTTTTCATTGATCCTATCGTCTAATCTCACAGCTGAAACAAGCATCCTTAATAATCTGTGCACAGGAAGCTTACCGATGCTGTAGTAAAACAAAAGGTATTATAATTTATTATTAATAAAACCTTGTTGCAGCACTAAAGCAGAAAAATTAGATTTTGCATTAAATATGCAAAATATTTACATATGAATTGTTTTAGAGCCCTTTAATTGGCAGAATCTGATATTAATTTAGTTCTTACAAAAAATGGGTCCCAACATGGTTTGTGTGGCGTTGCCATAGTGTGACGTCATAGGCACAGATCCCCTGTCCTCTTGTTTGGAAATGGAAATATGGTCACCCTACATTAAACAAACTGTCCACCCGGGCTTTTGCACTGCACAGAGACGCTTCGCTGCCTACGACTGAACGTCAGTTGAGAGTCAGTCTCATGCAGACTGACCAATGAAGAGAGGGCCTCAAGTTAAGACCCTCTCCTCATTGGTCAGTCCACACGAGGTGGGTCAAAGGTTACTCTGGGCGGGTTACGTGTTGTCAAGCATTCAAGTATTGAGTATATTTACTGCATATTACAGTAAAATATTCTGTATGTGACCACATTATGGTGATCCTTGGGTCATGATGATGGAGCCCTTGAATATTGTTGCCCAGGGTACAACAAAGTGTTAATCTGGCCCTGGTTCCGCCGTCACATTCCCGCAGAAACTGGTTGATCACACCGGGGCCAGACTAGCATGTGGTTTTACAACCACAATGTCCTCAGAAGCAAAAACGCTTTTAAAAGGGAGGGAGGAGTCCTAACTGTTGCTGCAGGCGTGTTGTGTGAGAGTGCAGTTATATACTGGTTAATATATTTTTGGGTTCAGTTGCTTTCATGTGGCCTAATGTGAGTCTATTTGGGATCATTGGAATGATCAGCAGCATTTCTTGATGTGACTTTATGGCAGTTGCCCAGGGCATCATCGCAAGGAGGATGGCATTCATTTACTTTTGTTTTATTTGGTATTTTTTCAGTCATTTTTGGAAATAGTGATCAATTTTGATTAATTCACGGCCTATGTTTAATTACATTTAAAATAAATGTCAACAGATGAGATCAAACAAAACAGATGAGAATTGCCCTTAAGCTGTTTAACTTGGACCAAGCATTTTAGGTCACAGATAGATGTAGCTTAGGGTCTCTGTCTATACACCTTATAAGACAATTTAGGTGATGGCATGTTGTTTTTCTGCTATTGAACTGTTTTCTAATAATGTTGTGTTAAATAAAGTGAAGGAAGGAGAGAAATAACGTTTCCCTAGCAGTTTTTAAAAATTTCCCCATGTAATCCGATTAATCGATTAATCGTGTCGAGACCCCATCCGATTAATCGATTATCCAAATAATCGTTTGTTGCAGCCCTAGTTAAGTGTTTTAAACTTAAAACAATGGCTGCTCCTGTAGGAGATGGTGGAGGCTGCCGGGGAGGACGAGCGAGAGCTGGCCGCAGAGATGGCTGCTGCTTTCCTCAACGAGAATCTCCCAGAAGCCATTTTTGGTTCTCCTAAAGCCGGAGCGGGTCAATGGGCCTCGCTGGTGCGCCTCATCAACCCCATTCAGGGGTCAACCCTGGACCAGGTGCAGCTGGAGCAGAACGAAGCTGCGTTCAGGTGAGAGAGGAGGACGTGGTGACGCTCGAGCATGAAGGCTACTCATGTCGTCATTTGTTCTGTCTTACTCATCGTTCTGTCTTTAGTGTTGCCGTGTGTCGCTTCACCAACACCGGAGATGATTGGTACGTTCTGGTGGGAGTCGCCAGAGACATGATTCTCAACCCCAGATCCGTGAGCGGAGGCTTCATCTACACGTACCGGCTCTCTGCCGAAGGGGATAAGCTGGAGTTTGTGCACAAGGTGATTTTAATAACAGCTGATCTATGTTACCAACCTCCATCATGGAGCTAACAGTCTTCCTCTGATCCATCCTGATTCTGTATCAGCTGCATCTGTCTCGAAGGGAAAGATGGAATAACTCCATTTAAAAGTGCTGATGTCATCAGAAGCATCCCTCACTGATTTTTGGGCAATGCCCCAGAGTCTGGAGCAGGGTGGTGAAATCCACGTGACTCAGTCCTGAGACGTTTGTTACCTGATGTGGGAGAGCGGCGGAAACGACGCATGACTCGCCAGATTTCACAGCCGTGGTTGTTTTGGGTTTTATTTCTCACTAAGCTGAAGGAATTCCCCAACCACTCCACCAGATCGGAAGTTGTAGGTGATTCCATCTGGTCACACACAAACTGGATGTTTTATTCATATTAGCTCCAGTTACACACACCCACCACCGTCTCACACACACACACACACATCCTCCCTGTTGGGCGAGGTCTGAAATGCCACGCCAGCGCAGGTCCTTCTGGACCAAACTCCCTGCAGAACGTCGGGAGACTGTTCAGAGTGCTTCATGTTCTGCTCGTGGTGTTTTGTTCATGTCTTATAAGTTCTGTTCCGGTGCCAGTTTTAGACAGGTTTCTGGTTTTCATCCGTCACATCTGTCATCAGCTGCATCAGCCTGCTCTGTTCAGCAGAACACATCTGGAAACTCACTGAGCATTTGTTGACTGCCTTGTAGTTTATTACTTTTATGGTGTAATGTTTGTCTCTTCCTCAGAACAAACAACTTTTTAGGATTATTCGCTAGTTTAGTTTTAATCGTTTGAGACGTTCTTCTTCTCTGCTGCTTTACAGCTGATTAAAGCCTTAACGAGCTGCTCGTGTTTAATAATTAACTGACCTAAATTGTTTTATTTCAGACTCCGGTGGAGGATGTGCCCTTGGCCATCGCACCGTTCCAGGGACGCGCTCTGGTCGGAGTGGGAAAGCTGCTGAGAATTTACGATCTTGGAAAAAAGAAGCTGCTACGCAAGTGTGAGAACAAAGTAAGATGCCTCTTTGGAACATCGTTTAAGTGGTGTTCTCTTTATTATGTGTTTTCCCACCTCGAGAGCGGTTTTATCTGTTCTAGAGAAGATCTGCTTTCACATGAGTAATTGGAGTTCTCGGGAGTCACTCGGTGCTTTACTTCCCCCTCTGTAGCACGTTCCCAACCTGGTGACGGGCATCTACACCATCGGCCAGCGCGTGATCATCTCGGACGTTCAGGAGAGCCTGTTTTGGGTTCGTTACCGCCGTAACGAGAACCAGCTCATCATCTTTGCTGATGACACGTACCCCCGCTGGGTGACGACTGCCTGCTTGCTTGACTTTGACACTATGGCATCAGCTGACAAGTTCGGCAACATCAGCATAGTAAGTTGTGTGTGTGTGTGTGTGTGTGTGTGTGTGTGTGTGTGTGTGTGTGTGTGTGTGTGTGTGTGTGTGTGTGTGTGTGTGTGTGTGTGTGTGTGTGTGTGTGTGTGTGTGTGTGTGTGTGTGTGTGTGTGTGTGTGTGTGTGTGTGTGTGTGTGTGTGTGTGTGTTTTCACCTACTGCCTCTTAAGCAGCAGGGTGAGTCGTATCGCATCATGTGATTTTACATCACCAGTTCAGAGGTGGTTTCTAGGGATGAGCCGGATACTCGTTTCAGACAAGTATCCGGTACGGATAAAGCATTATTGACGAGTACGAGCATGAAACGAGTAAAACTCGTAAATATCTGTAATCGTGCTGAAGGAAAATCCTCATTGGGTAACTGACTGACTTCACGCTCTGTGATTGGCCAGTCAAATAGAGCGCCCGCCCCTCCCAACACACAACACTGCAGCCGGGAGCTCACAGCTCAGTCCGCGTCCGGTCCATCCACACACACACACAGTAACGGTTTCTTTACTACTCCCTAGGTTTTCTTCAGCTCGCCTCATTTTAAAGTTACTTTTAAAGTTATTTAAAGTTACTTTTTCGTAACGTACGTGGTGCATTTGACAAGACAGAGCTGAAAACGGCTCGTGCTGCGTCTGTCACTGCATCCGCTCCCGTCGGGTATTTTTTTTTTCCTCTCTCCTCTTCCTCAGGATCTACTCCCTCTTTATTCACTCTCTCTTTCTTTACATTTTTTAATCACAATTGTCTATTTTTTGCTCATTTTAAACACATTTTAATCATTTTCTAAATTATTTTTTATATTTTACGTTTTCTTTTTGTGAAGCGCCCTGTGATTTTTATCTTGAGAGGCCTATAGAAATTTTATTTTCTTTCTCTCTCTCTTAATTCCTGCACTTAAATATTAATGTTCCGATTTTATTGACAAACTTGTTCTGTAATAGTTCCTTTACTATCGTGATCAAAAACATTTAATCTCAACTCTGAGGCTGCTCTGTAAATAGTTTTCAAATAAACAAAACACATAGCAACTTCTGATCAGACTTAAAATAACGTATCGATGTAAACTACACCCACTTCCGGTTAAACTACACCCACTTCCGGTTAAACTACACCTACTCCGAGTACAGATAATTTAGATGGTTGAACAGATGCAGATAGTGGTGTACTCGCTTATCCCTAGTGGTTTCTCCCAGAAATGCGTCGAGTTCCTCACATCTGCTGGATGAACATTGTTTTCTCCGAACATCTAACGACTGGATTTCATAACATGTTTGCTCCACGCTGAAATTCAAACACATACACGTCTGTGTTGAAACAGATCTAGAGTGTGATCTACAGAATTTAACTCCAGTGAAAATGGAGACTTTGTTCTCTTCTCAAAGAGCTCAGAAACATCTGGAGACCTTTCGGGGTAAATGGGATAAGTCAAACAGATCTTCAATCTCCGTTTTTTTTTCCCAGGTGCGACTTCCGCCCAACACTAGTGATGACGTGGACGAAGATCCCACAGGAAACAAAGCCTTATGGGACAGAGGTCTCCTTAACGGAGCTTCACAGAAGGTAAAAACACCCGTTAGTCTCCAGCCTGTGTTACGTCACACTCTGGGATGTCACATGTACAGTGTGTGTGCAGAATCAGACCCAAAAAGCAGCTGAAGAGGCAGAATTAAAGGTCTTAAGTGTGTTCTTGCTGTGTCTTTCTAAATCCATGCTTTCGTTCTTTTTTAAACACAGAAACAGTTTTGTTTACCTGTTTGTAGCTACAGTTTCACCGACGGCTGCCCGCTTCTTCAGGCTGACGAAAAAGAACGAAAGCATGGATGCAGAATTAAAGGTCTTCCTCCTCATCTTCATCAGCCACAACCCAGCACCAGCTTCAGCTGTTCCCATACTTGAAGTTCTGGTGAAAACTGTTTAGGTAGCTCTCAGATCAGGAAAGTCCCTCCAGCTTAGACTTCGTCATGATCTGGATCCAGTTTCCTTGGTGACACAGTTTCTTTGCACACATTTAGAAAGGTTTTAGATGTGAACGCCCAGCATACCTCTGTGGTGCTCCTTCACATCCAGAACTGTTATCCTGAGCCAAGTCATTTCCGATTGGACTGAATTGGTTTTGCTCAGGAAAACACAGGTCAGTCAGAATTAATGAATCGGTGTTTAATGATCTGAGTGACTTTGATCTGATTAAATATGGAAAATCACGTGTCTTGACTATAAGTAATACATCTAGTCTCTAACGGTTCTGGAGCCGTTCTGACCCAGTCTGAGGTTCCTGCTCAGCTCTCAACTTAGACTTTCTGTCAGGTTCTGGTCTGGACTTGGACTGGACCGGAGCAGGATTTCTGTGTTTGGATCATGATTTTGTTTAATGACCCGGTTTAGTCAGGCTGATGGTCCCACGTCGGACTCAGAGGAGTCCCTGGTGGGTCAGAACCAGTCTAAACCATCAGCTCTCCACCACGGTGCAGACAGCTGTGCGTTATGGGTAAACGTCTCCGCTTTAGAGATGTTTATCACACAACCAGGTCATGCATTTCCTAAATGTCCTGCTGTGGCCTTTGAGCTGCTAACTAGAGTCTGAGGTGGAGCTCTGAGCATTGACCTTTGACCCCAGAGGTAACCTGCTAGGTTTCCCACTCTTGAGATGGTTTGAAATGACCTTGCTCTTTGCGTTAACACACACCTGCATGCTCCGGAGCTTTTATCAGCAGCTGAACTCCTGTAGAAGCAGAGGATGGACTCATGACTCCCTCTGTGTTTTTGTAAATCTTTGTTTTGTTTTGTTCTCATGTCTAATTGGATCTAAAGACCAGATGTCTTCTATTCATAATGCAATTTTAATTTTCTATAAAAGCCTGGCGTTTGGTCTCTGTACTCGATCTGTTTGCTGCTGGAGGTTCAGGTTTGACTCGCATCCCATCAGGATCAAGTGGCTCCTTGTTTAGGTCTCTCTGAAGTATCCCAGCTGTCAAAAACAATCCATATTTCTTCTTCGGGGGTTTCTAACGGATCACGGGGAGGACTCGCACAGAGCTGCTGCTGTTTCCACCAGAGAGAAATTCTTTTATCTGCTTGTCTTTAGTCTCCAGAGTCTGATTTAACTTCACCTCCATTCTGTTGGTGTGAGAGTTGTGTTTGGATCAGGGTGATGGAGGTTTACTGCTACCAAACGCTGCCCAGTTATCTGCCACCACTGCCTTGTATCGACTGACATCAGGTTTTTGATGAAGGGAAGAAAATGATCTTTTCTACAGCACCTCTAGATAAAAATCACAAGGTGCTTCACAAAAAACAAAAAAAAATTTCAATTTAAAAAGATTTTAAAAAATGATTAAAAATAGGTTGAAAATGAGAAAATTTGTGATTAAAAAGCGTAAGGAAAGGGAGAGAGAAAATGAATAGGAAAGGGGGGAATCAGTGGATCCTGGGAAAGGCGGAATAGACCCTTTTACTGTTTGTAAACAATATGACGTCAGCGAGAATGCGCGCGCAGCTTGGCAACAGAGAATGGCGTTGTTTCAGGCTTTATCAAGCTACGCTGCGGGGTTATCACCGGCAAATCTTGAATGTTATATTATTAAACTCACTTTAACGAATGGCAACAGACTCCCGGATCCCTGTGGCATTACGGAATGGGTGGAAGATGTAGGTGCGTGGCCAGATATCCAGTGGCCCGATATATATACGTTTTTAGTGGAGAGGCCCAGTAAGTACACACGTGAGAAGCTACGGGCATACAAATCGTTAGATGCATACAACTATGTTGTCTGTGGCCACGTACAGAAAGTAAATATCATGACATAGACTCTGAGTTTTGCGTCTTGAAGGCAGAAGTCCTTCCTAGCCAAAGACAAGGACACAAGACCGCTATGTACGAGGCTTGGGTCATAGTAAACAAACCAGAGAACTACGTCTTCACAGCCAACTGTACCTGCGTGGCAGGGTGAGTATAGCATAGGTTTCTTTTTTTAGCGTGCTCAGAGTACAATCGTGTTAATTTTAGAGAAATACGGTTTATACTAATATGCAGTGGGAAAATACAGATGAATTAGAATGAAATGTTAATTTGAAGCGTGAAATCAAGCGTATAAATTTGTTTAATTCTGTCATTTTGATGTTCCAGACTTGGGTCATGCTGCAGCCACGCAGCAGCAATTTTATTCAAAGTTGAGCTTTGTGATAGGATGGGAAGAACAGAAAAGAGTCCAATGACACCTCGCCTGTAAATAAATAGACTACTTAAAAGCAAACCAGCAAACACAACTTACTTTATTTAATAGAACACACGTTAACCAGCTTTCTGGTGTATTCTTAGTACATAATTACCTGATATAAAATGGGCGCTACAAACTCGAGCATTTCGGATCGTGTTTTCAGTCCAGTTTTCATCAACCCTTTTGATGGCCGGCAGCCACAGACGCCTCCGATTTTGTTGAAATGGATGTGCTCCCTTCGGAATTCTGTAAAGTTTCAGTCCACTGCATGAAGAGAAGCGATTCTGGCATCCATACACGCAACAACCCGACATTTTTATGTGCTCAGAACTTAAAAACAAAGGGTTTGTAACGCTGTTTTAGTATCGAGTGTGAATGAGGAAGCCTTCACTCTCGTTGCCAGGCTGCGCGCGCAACGTTTGATGACGTAGGTAGTAAAAGGGTCTATAACCCCCAAATTCCACTACCTCCGCTCCGCTCCGACACGAACGCCGGCGCAAAATCGGTCCCGTTCTAGTCAATCAGAGCAATTCCACTACTGTGGCTGTGCTCCGGCAGTGCGGCGCCGTGCGCCGCCCTCTGTTCCGGCGTCCGGCAAAAATAGAATCCTATTTTCGCCGGACGCCGGAGCACCTCCGCAGTAAATGGACAGAAATCACAACGGCCCAACAGCAAAAGGAGCAAGCACAATTTCCGTTTTTCACAATAAATCGATAAACAAAAGGCGTTTTTTGTTTCATATGCGCAGGTTTAACAACTTTTAACAACTATCAATGGCGGCTGAACTTTAAATGCACAAAAGTAAGCCATAAATACAGTTTCTACTATCAAAGGAGTCACACTTTGTTGATCCAAACACTGCTGATCTCTCAACACAAGTGATGGGCAGATTAAACAGTTCATGCCGATGCTTCTCCCACACAACGGGTGTTTGGATCTAACTTCTGCGTTTATTGCTCGGACTGTATCGCAAGATCTCGAAAATCCCGCACATGCTTGTTTGCCCCTCAGGTCTCCGCACCGGAGCGGAGCCGTTGTAGAGCGGGTACCAGTAAAAATTGAGTTCGGAAGCAAGCGGCTGCGGAAGGCGGGGGCGGAGCGGAGGTAGTGGAATTTGGGGGTAAGAGTAGAATAAGGAGAGGGTGGTGATGAAAAGCCTGACCTGCCAGACTCCTCCTCTGTTCTGCACAGAGAAAGGGTCAGGTAACTATCCTATTCAAATAACCCCACCCCCTGAGAATTCTAACCGAGCCAATCAGCGCTGTGCAGAGTACATGAGAGGCGGGACTAGCCAACTCACAAATAACCAATCAGAACAAAGAGAAATGCTGACTGTACCGCGTGGCGCTGTAGTTTTTAAGCTTTTGTAAAAATTGGCGTCTGGCAACGGCACAAACATCTTTCTGTAAAAGAAAGGCTTTTAGAGCTTCTACTTGTTGGGGTTTTAAAGACGTGTCCAAGTCATTTAGACCAGAGGAAAGAGCCGCAGCCAACTCCGCTTTAGTCGCCATGTTTATGACACTCTGCGTTTTGGTGTGTGATGTACGCTGCTCAGCGCTGATTGGCTTGGTTAAGCTTGGTTTATGCTTGACGCGTCTGCGAGGTTCGCACGGCTCGGCGCGGCAAAATTGCGTCATTTTAACAACCACGCCCCTCCACCGTGCCTCCGCACGGCCCAAACTTTCCGCACCACGCACCTAGGAAATTTTCTAATCAGTCGGACGCGGAAAAACATGGCGGACTGGCAAGAACTAGTATGGCAGAGGTTCGTAAATACAGACATTTGTATGATTCAGCTCTCAGAGATCACCGTGATCAACATGTTGTTAATAATTCTTGGAGAAAAAAAGCTCGCACTGTCGGAAAAGACGAGGACGCTGTTAAAAATGCTGGAATGCCATGTTGTAAACAGTAATTTCTACTTCTACTATGGTGTAGTGTTGGATGCATGCCGTAGAGCTCCATGCTGCCCCCTACAGTTTGGGAGAATATTGTCTCACCGCAGAGACAAGCCGCATGAACCATAAACGCTGCGAGTTGTGAAGCGCGTTCCATCCGTGAGCCGCACCACCAAGCGGAAAGTGAATGCATCAAGCATAAACCAAGCTTTAGAATGCTCAGGGGGCGGGGTTATTTGAATAGGAGAGTTCCCAGACCCTTCCTCTGCAGAATTAAACAGAGGAGGAGTGTTGCAGGTCAGACTAGATGATGAAGATCAGACCAAAGCCTGAACAGGTGAGTTTAAACGAGACCTCTGAGTCCACTGATCTCAGGCTCAGGGGGAGAGAGTTCCAGAGTCTGGGGGCCACAGCAGCAAATGATCTGTCACCTTTGACCTTAAGCCTG